CGCTGTGCTCCGTGTGCGCCGCCTCCGTCCGCGTGCCCCGAGCGCTCCGCCCAGCCCTGTCGGCTCCGCGGGGACCGTCTGCTTGGGCAGCGATTAGACGAATGATGGATTTCTGAGTTACCTTTCTGCCAGAGGTTAATTGTGTGCAGTTGTGAAAATATGAAGCATTTTGCCACGTGCCCTGTATTTCCTCCGTACTAGTACTGGTCCCCTGGCGCACGGCTCCCACCTCGTTTGGGTGTGCTCCCCGAAGACTGAGACGGTCGAGTGCAGTAACCCGTGCAAAGCACATAGAACGGCCGGCTCTTCCCACTGCCCTTGCAGTGGGCAACGGCAGAACGCCTGTCAGCTCTTTGAGCTTAGCCTAATGACAGAACGTTGTCAGCTCTTTGAGCTCAGCCAGGCTGCTCGGAGTGTGCTGGTGCCTGGCTGTGTGATCAACCAGAGATTCGAGCAGTTTTATGCAGAATGTCGGGGTCCCCTCTCTGGCTCTCCTTTCTAGGACCCTCCCTCACTTTCTGTGCGCTCTGATCACTCTGCACTTGGTCCTCTTATTTTTTAAGCCAGTGAGGCTGTGGGCTTTCTACTCAAGTTGAGCTGCCCTGCTCGGCAGGACAGAGCCTATCCCCAGACAAAAAAGCTATTAAAAAACAGGAAAGGCACCAAACTCTTTTCCTTCCAGGCATCAGCTTTCTGTAGCATCTTTCTGTTTCTGATTTGTCTCCACTGCCTTCAGTAGTCATGAGGTATATTTTGTCCAGTTTATAATTGTCTTCTGTAAAGAACTGGTCTGGAATGAGTTAGTCCTCCATTCCCAGGACTCATTCTATAAATATGTGATGCAATGTTTTTGTTTTTGTTTTTTATTTTAAAATGTAATTTGTAAAACCAGAGACTGTTGTTGAATACCAAATTGTAACAGAAGACCAATGTTTCGATTTTTCTGCCAGGCGAAATTGTTTTTGCCAGGACCCTGCAATAAACTTGCAGTATCTTTATTTATTAAGTGGTGTAGAACAGTTGCATGCATGCTGTGCTCTGAAGTACTTGCTGTTTGCCTCTCCTTGTGTCTGTGAATCAGGATATTCTCTCAACGGTGCGAGCAACAGTAGGTAAATAATGTGGCGATTGAGACTAGCAAATCGCCAGCCTTAACCCCAGTCTCAAATTTTCATGTTCACCCAATAACATTAATGTTTTCACTGAGTGTTAGAAATGTAAATTCTATTATTGGGGGTTCATTTGAAAAAATGGTTTCACTACCTCAAAGTTTGAAAACCACCACTTCACATTACTATCTGATTTTCTTTAAAAAAAATTTTTTTTGAAGTGTAGTTGATTTACAATGTTAGTACAGCACAGTGATTCAGTTACACATATATATACATACATATTTTTTTCTTTCAGATTCTCTTCCATTATGTCATAAGAAATTGAATATCATTCCTTGTGCTCTACAGTAGGTCCTCGTTGTTCATCTATTTTATGTATAGTAATATGTGTCTGTTAATCCCCAACCCCTAAGATAAGATTTTCTTATATTTTTAAAAATTTTCTTTAAACCAAGAAGTATTCACACTGTCACAGCACATTGTACTGTGCTCTGATTTCGTATTCTGCAAGGGCAGCGCAGATGCAGAGGTCAGAACATGAGGAGACTTACATATTGCATTTGGAGGTGTGAGCAACTTGCAGAAGTATCTTGACAGGGGCTTAGATGATAACAAGTGACTTGCTTTCCAAGTACAGTTTCTCCCCAGCGCTGACACCTGCTGGACATTTGCCAAAACACAATCGCTCTGTTGGGAATTATTTGCATATGGCTTCTTTCTAAATCCCCCACCGCATTCATCCTGCTCACGTGTGACTTGAGTAATTAGCTTTGAATACAGCACCATGATTAGTCAGAGGTGGGGATTTGGTAGATAATTTACCGTGAAGAAAAAAATGAAGAAAATATGGCCTTTGAGAGTAATTTAAAACGTACCAAGTGGTACTTACCACGAAGTGACGTTTCAAAGCATTTGATGTTCTAGGACGTGTGTCGCCTGTTTTGGCCTAAAACCAGTTGAAATAGAAGTCAGGCGATTTGCGGCCGTGTAGTGTAACTGGGTGTCTGTGGACGAGAGGTTGCCTTTTGTGACTGCGTGACTGTGGCTCCAAATGTCCCCTCTTGAAATCAACTTTACCATCTTGATAATTAAGTTAGGGTGTTAACTTTCAGCTCCTTCGAAATGTCTTTTAATATTTCCAAGACCTAGGCATTCGTTTGATTTGCAAATTAGAGATTTTCAAGGGCGTGTGCATTGAGGCAGATCCGCACAGTAGTCACTATGGGGAATCTATGTCGAGACCCCCTGGATCCCCCCTGCCCCGCCCTGAGGACATCCCCACACCCCACCCACCCCTCCAGCTGCCAGGAGTGCCTCCTTCCTCTCTTCCCCCACTGCATCCATTCCTTGCCCAGCCAGCCCATGCCACACTGGGTTTTGCAACACCACTGGGGGCACAGAAGCCCAAAGAAGTTAACAGAGGGGTTAGGACAGTGCATCTGAGCTGAGATGCCCCTGGACACTGGGGGAGGAGCCAGGCCAGTGTCCCCTTCACTGCCTTACCAGGTGAGTAAGTTTTCTCCAGGGGCAGGTCCACACCACCCATAGCAGAGTTACCTGAGATGCGTGTTAAAACAGATTTCTGGGCCCCGTCGCAAACCTACTGAATCAAACCTTGAGCATGAGACCCTGGAGTCCACAGTTTATCCTGTCACAAGGAGTGATTCTCAGGAACACTGAAGTTCAAGAAACAGCAGCTCGGCACCTGCCCTGACATGGTCGGTCCACTGGAACCCAGAGATGCCACCTGCAGTGATCTGGGCTGTCGGTCAGCCGACAGGCACCAAAAGGACTCCACGCTGGGTCCCAGTCCTCAGCACAGGCTGGAGCTGTCTGCCACTCTGGTGCCTGGTAGGGTCAAATGTGCACCCTTAGTGCCTGCAGGCATGAGCTGAGTCACCACCCGGCGATCTTCATCTTTGGACCTCAGGTACAGGAGTGCAGATTCACCACCCTTAATCTCACACCTGGTGGCCCCCTTCCATGTTCCTTTCAGAGCGGCTGTCCCTTCATTTCCAGACCTGCCTGCTGATGGGCCCCGCCCCCCGCTGCTCGCTTGCTTGTATCCTTGGGCCTTGGCTGCACAAAGCACCTGCAGCAGGCTGTTTAGGAGCCCCTTTCAGCTCTTGTCCTCAGTCCCTAGGGAGGAGGAGGAACGCTGGGGCCTGAGCCTTGCCGGCAGGCTGTCCCCATTGATGTCACTCACTGGACAGGCCCTCATCCTTCCGTGGCTTGGGAGGTGTTTGTCTGATTTTCTGCTGTTTCTGCCACCGTTGGTCCCTGGAGGGGGAACAGGTGTGATGCATGTGGTGTGTGAATTAGCCCCGATCCCCAGGACCTCTCCTGGAGGTGTGAGCCCCGGACTCTTACAAGTTCCCTTGTCTTCCTTCGTGGCCCCGGTCTCCTTCCCCTGTCCCTCCCCTGGTCTGTTTGCTCACTGTGTCCCTCACCCCCCTGCTCCTGGCTGCACCAGCATCGGGGTGGGTGAGGCACTGAATGATGCTCAGGGCTCTGCCCCTTGGCCCTGCTGGGACAGGCAGCATCCAAAGTGGCATCAAGGAAAGCAAAGTCCTTCCGTGATTTTCTCTGGGCCATGCGTCTTACAAAGATGCTCTTGTGGGGCTGGCAGTGGTCTGTCAGGGGGGAAGGAGCCTGCCTCTCCCCACGTGCAGTCAGTCTGCTGAGCTGACGTGAGCAGGCGGGTCCTAACCAGTCCTGGTGTAGGGGGGCAACCTAGGGTGTCCTTTCCCATTTAGTAACTGACTTTAAACAGGAAACAGAGTAAACGCTGAGTCGGCCTCATACCTAGTAACACAGTTATCTGCCCTCTGCTAAGAGAATGATTTCTACCCTGGTAGGCCCTCGACCTCGCCATGAGAAAGGCCGGCATGCGTTCAGCCCGGGGGCCCCGGGAGCCTGCCCTGCCCTCCCGGCCCTGCCCACTGCACCCATTCCCAGTCTCGCGCCGAAGGAGGGAGCAGCACTGCTCTGACTCCTGGTGAGAAAGCAGTCTTGAAAGTAGGTTAGCACAAGTGCCTGCCTGCAGAACTGGAGAGGGCGGGGGCGGGGCTCCCCAGGTTCCAGGTCCCCAGCAGTGTTAGTGAGGGACCGGCAGGAGGCCAGCCAGGGCGAGGAAAGGAGGACAGTCCCTCCCCTCTGTGGCCTGGGGCCACCAACAGAGGGGCCAGGGCCAGTCCAGCATCCCACTTAGTCCAGCAGAAAGTGGCACAAAGGTGGGTCCTGGTGGAGAGGGCGCCTGGGGCCTGACACTCGGGCTGCTCCCCTCGGCACAGGCAATGTGTGAGAAGCAGTGGCTGTGTCCCCAAGGGCCAGGACGTGTCAGCTGAAAAAAAACAAGCGTGGCTCGTGACCCTGGCGGCAT